TTTTGTATGAGGAGGAGAGAGAAGGGTCGAAGATGGGCTCTCTCTGTTTGTAACAAGACCCAGCACATGGCTGGCATTGGGTCCAGGTGAGGTCGCTGCCGGTGTCGAAGACGAGGGAGAGTTGCTTGGCGGGTGTACCAAGGCCGACGGTGACAATGTAATTCGGTGAGCCAATAACGATACCGGACTTGGCGGGGAGGGTGGGAGCAGCGGGTTGGGGGGGGGGGGGTCTTTCATTCTGTTGTTGTTGTTGTTGTGGTTGAGGCGGGAGTGGATTGAGTTGACTCGGGCTTGGTCTTGCTTGAGGATTTGAGCATGGTATTTTTCATCACTAGTTGTTGTTGAAGTTTTTGATGACTTGTGGAATTTGGAGCATGGCCCATGTTTGTGCACCACTTTCAATACCGAAGGTGCCTTGTTACTGTTATGACCTGAGATCATTGAAACATGTATGCATAGAGAGAGAGAGTGTGTGTGTTAGATATACATAAATGCACATAAAATGGGGTTTGAAATTAAGTTATACATACATACATATATATATATATATATATAAAATATAGGATGAATTAACCTTTGGTGGAGGGGCTGCAGGTGGTTGCTGGTAGAAGAGAGTTTACTTCAACCGTGTGAGTGGTATGTGGCAGAAGGTGGGGTTTTATATCTCTTGCTGCCAAAGCAAATCCGTTTTCGAAAGAGCAGAGAATTAGGCATAGAAATACAGAGAAGAAACCCATGAAAAACCTAAGGAAGGAGGAGCTAGAAATAATGGGAGTTGCCATGAATAATTAACAAGATTGCCTCTACATTATTGAGTTGCTGCTGTAATGTAAGCATACTCTTGGCCTTATATTGGCTAATTGGAGACAGGGGTGTCAACGGGGGTTATCGGGGTTTGGGTTCGTTTGGTATGACAGACTGTTATGGACTGGATTAAATCCTAGGACTGTTTTGGATTAGTTCAGATTGACCTCAAATTGATTAAGTACTGAACTACGTTCGGTGTTACGTTGGACTAAGAAGCTAGATTGTTGTTGTGACCTGGTCATTGAAATGCATGAGTGTATGTATACATGTGACTCTTTATGCATATATTCACAATTATATCCATCTGTGCATGCCTGCCACTAGTTTACGGGTAACAACACCATGCATGTCATGTGGGTGAGAGACACAAAGGTAACGGAGCTCTGTTTTATTTATTTATTTATTTAAATTTTAATAGAGTAAAATTGGTTTAAGCTTTTTTATTATAGAAAAGATGATAGAGGTTCAAAAATTCAACCAATAGTTGGGTCCAGTCCTCGAATTATTGTTTGTTGATACAAGTTCTTTAACTAGTTTTTCATGTAGATTACATTCCATTTTTTACATACTGACTCAATCTTTTATATTTAACTGATTTGTATTTAAATTTTTTGTTCATATTATATCCCTATTGTCTAAAATGGGTAAGATGAGGATTTATAGGCCATTAATGATTAGATTTGATCATGTAATTAAAGGAATAATTACATTTTGAATGTAAATGTCGGACCTTCACTTTTTTCTTGTGCTTGATTTGTGCAAATTCCTATGCTCCAGGTACAATACCCTACTAACCATTGAATTTGATATACCTATCTAATAGGTATAGTACATATTGGATGCACCTCAATACTAGGTAAAACACATATTGGATGCACCTCAATGCCAGGTAAAACACATATATTTAAAATAAATAAATAAAAGTTATACCTCCATACTAGGTATATTAAAAAATTAACATTATGACAAAAAAATTCCATCAAAGAATTTTGAAAAACTCAATATATAAATTTGTGGCTAAAAGGTAGGTATATAATACCAATTTAATAAAGCTACGAATATAGAATTCTTAACAATATAGTTTCCATATATATATATATAGCTGAAATTTGAATTAAATAGGTTTTTAATCTGTGAGCCATGAAATCATCATTTAAATTGAATGTCATAAGCTTGATTGTAGGAGAAAACTGATACTTAAAAGTGGTATTTGCATGTACTTGTCATTTTCAACCAATGTCATTATTGTAAATGTCTTGAATATGGTGGCTACAAGGTTTGCTTGCCTGACCATACAATTGATTGGGAGGACTACAAGGTATGCTAAACTGTAAAAATAAAAAATAAAAACAAAGTGTATGTTTTTCTATGCATATGAATAATATATTAGAGGGAATTTCATAGTATATCTATATAATAGCAAACTCTACGCCCATGCGCCATTGGAATTAACAACGTATATAGTAAGGCCTAACGAAATACCAGAAAAACAAGTGTAGGTGCTTCAGATTACCTTATTTTCTCATTTGGATTCAAATAAAAATCCTAGAAAATCAAATTCCCACCAAATCAAAATTTGAAAAATCGGTCTTAGTGCAAAATACGATTTAGGCTAAAAATGATTGCTCATTAAGTCAATATATACTTCATATTAAAATCCCATAAAATCAAGTTTTTTTATTTAATGTGTAAGGAATAAAAGACGCCAAAAATTATTTTGAGAAAATGATTATTCCGAAAAACCATTTTTCATACTTATTCAATATTGCACCTCCGCTAAAAAATTTCATGGTCCACCTGTGATAGCTATTGCCTGTAGATTAAGTTCGAGCATACTATTGGCCTTATATAAACAATTTGGAGGGTTTAATTTTCTAGCATTTGCTCCATACCATCGTTCTCAACACGTTCACACCCCCGCCCTAACCCATTAAATTTTTTTTGGTCGATCGACTTTGTCCACCCGTTCTCTTACGTTAATTTTTTTTCACCCGTGAATTCTGTGTTGCCTAAAACTGAAGGAATCACAAGGAAAAGACAAAAAATGAAAATGAAAGGAAGAAGGTTCTCTGTCAATACACATACATACATACATACAATATTGTAATTAATGCCAAGTGGACTTGGAGTTTGGAAGGAAGGTACCGCATGCATGCGTTCCTGTTCCTTCCTAGTCACGACTACTACTCACGGGTCCCAAAATCAATGAATCAACAGAATCAAATGAAGGCAAATGGAAAAAGCAAAATCAAATTAAGAAAATCTCTACGTTGCTTTTCTTTAGAATAGAAAGAGTTCATACAATGTATGCATTATTTTGCAACTGATAATTTTAGGATATATTTATTGTTTAGATAATACTTGTGTTAACATTAGTTATTATTGTCAAGATGAGAATGAAGACATTTTCCTAATGGTTATGTGACAAAGCAAACGATTAAGCAAATAGATAGTAAAGAAGAGAACATAGGAAGAAACTAAGGGGAGAAAATAAATAGATAGCCTGTATAAAAGGGAAATGTCAAGCCAACAAAAATTGAATTTAAAATGCATGTTCTAAGTAGTTAGCAGGAAGACCCAAAAACAACCAAACTAACGTGAACTTTCGACTTTAGCAAGTAAGATGGAGAAGATTGAAGGATTAAGAGCCGCAACAACTGCACATCTCATATAAAAAATCAAAAAATCATAATAGATGAAAACCACTTGGTGAACCAAAAACAAAACCAAAATATGAAATTGTGGAAATTGCCAGCTTCGTGGGTTCTGAACCTGTGGAATTTTTCTCCACGTTCTTTAGCTCTTCTTTTTTTTCGAGGCAACCGTGGGTTAAACTGTTCTTTATTCTTCTCATGTGAGTCAAGCACAGCACGACTCTATTTTTGTTTTTTGTTTTTTTTTAATCAGTGGTGTTTTACTATTTCACCATATTTTAATTAAAATTGTATGCTTTTGATTTTTTATTTGACAAAGGGTATTTTCAGGATTTTTGAATATTTCATAATTCTCTATCTTTTGCTTTATATATATAGATTCATTAAATAACAATCCCGATTTCTTGGAATACAGGGGTTCAAGAGATTTGTGATCACTCACTGTTGGATGTTATCTAATGGTTCAAAAACGTTTCTTAAAATAAGTACAAGAGTGAGTGAACCGTTAAATTTACATTCAACGGTGGATGACCATAAATCTCTTGAACCCCTATAGTCTAAGAGATCGGGATTACATTAAATAAATGTAAAACAACTATTTCTAAGTGCTAATAACAATTAGTTTATTTATTTATTTATGAGCTTTCTGTATATTTGTGTGATGTGCATTACTTGCTACACCGAAAGCATGGATGGATTAGAGATACGGTGAAGTTCCTGATGATGCAGGTGAGTTTCATTTCGTCCACACAAATGAAGTGGACTTGTAAAAGACAAAAGCCGCGGGTTTACTAAACTAATTAATTAGGGTAATTAATTAGTCAAATATAATACGCTAGGGTGTTTTATAATTTTTTATGATGCTTTGTCCTCTTGTAATAAAACATCATGGCGTGTTGTGGCTGTCTCCCTCTCTCTCTGTGTCCTCTGGTTTTTGCTAGCAAAGCAATCAGAAAGTAGTTAGTTAAGGATGGGCAGCCCGAGACACAGACTGCAGACTGAAGAGCCTCTCCGCTGAAACCAATACGCTGAACCCTAGGCACTGGTCAAACTTTGAAGTTGAACCACGCCAAGCCTTCCCAATTCATTGACCTTTTCTTTTTTTATTTTCTTTTGGGTCCTTCTTAAGACATTTTGTGCTAGAGTTGGCCTCGTCCAGTCCAAAAGCAAAACAAGCCCAAACTAGGAGATGGAGATTACTGTTCTACTTTTGCTATTTTAAAAGAGAAACAGCACATCAACATGTTGCATTACTTCAAAACACCAACAACATCCGTGAGTTAGGAGAATTGATTAGCAAAATGAACCCCTTTTTGTATTTGAGTTGGAATTTCCCTCCCAGTACATTCGATTATTTTATTATTATATAAAATACTATCGCTTGATTGGTCATTAGATTATTTTATACAAGTAGGGGGGAAAGGTAAGAATTGGATACTTCCCAATACAATCCCATTACAGAAAAATATGTAACACAATGCTTTATTCTAGAGCTAGCAGTTTGTGTTACAATTATGCCCCATTGACGATGTTCATTACTCAGGGGCAACTTGCAGGGGCAAATCCCACCTTTTTACCAGCCACGTCATATATCACCTCCAACCTCTTCTGTTGAACATTCCCAATAATCCCCAAGCCAGTATCATCCTTGTGTCCCGCAAACGCCAAGCAAGCCTGCGAACTACTTACCACATACAATATCCCGGCCGGGTCCAAGTCCACCGTAACCCCGTCCCCAAACCTAAACGCAATACCCGGATACGACACCGTCTTGTAGCCACTGAAATTGTAACACGTGTCCAGCAGCGAAAACGACATAGTCATCTTGTAGTTTTTCATACCCTCCCGAAACGCGTCCCTCAACGCCCTGTACGCAGTCGCCGGCAGCCGCGTGATCACCGTCCCCGAGCCGATGGTGGTTC